AGTGATTAGAACACAAGCACTTCTTTTATGGGGCCACCACTCAGTACATGAAAAATGGGTGGAAGAGTAACAGGGGGAAAATGTCACTTGTTATTCACTTCAGTGGCATGTCACCTTTGGACAAAAGCAAAGCTAAGCTTGGAATGTCAATGCCTTAGAAATGGAAAATAAAATTCAGAAAAATGTGGAATTACTGAGACAATTTCATAAACCAGCCAGTGATTCTTGTCTTCTTAGATTTACCATAACCTCTTTCAATTTTACACTAGCTGAAAACTTGACTGGCTTATTGTCTATTTAAAAACTATGCTTTAAAGAACTGACTTGTAGTTCTCAATCACTTCATTTTCTAGGTAACTTTTAAATCTCAATAGGAATCTTTCTGGTGGGCATTCAATGTTTTTCACATGCTGAAAAGAATGTATTTAACATAATTTGACAACTTCCTTTTATTTATTCTATCATCTCTCCTATTTTAAAATGCATGTTATTTATTTGTTCTATCCATATTTATTGGAATACCAAGGAACCTCTACAAAGTTTTTAAATAACAGCAGCAGACTCATAATTTTTATCCACACTTACCCCTCCCATGAATCACAGAGAGGGTTCTATTACTATGTTCTTCACCTTATATTTCTTTTCTTCATCAACATATTTCTTAAAAACTAGTCTAGTTTCCATTGTCTCGCCTGCCATGCCACTCAATTTTAACTGCACCCTTGTTTGAACACTTGAAAAGAAATATAGCACATTTTTATAGGTACTGATCATAAGTAAGTAAGAGAAACTTGGGTCAATGAAAGTGTTATTATTAATTTTTAAAATTTATTATGACTGTTCAATATTGACTTTCCCAGTGGACGTGGGACTCTTTGTCACACCTTTCCACTTACCTTTATGAAATCTCTTCCCTGGATTGTCTCTTTCATTCTTAAGGTTCTCTTTAAAACTTATTGACTCCTAAATCCCGTGACTTGTTCTTCATCTTCATTTTATGCTCCCATGGATTAATTGGCACCCATTACATGTTTAAACTTTGTTGTACTTTCATTTCCAGTGCAAAGTTGGTATGCCTGATGCTTTCAAAAAGCAAAAACTCAACAGAGTTTGGAGGAAGCGCAGGTTTAGTAATTGAGAAGGCACCAACTTAGAAGATGGGAAACCTAATCCTCAAACCCATCATACCAAAGTACAAGTTCAGGCTTCTTTTGTGTCCGTGGAAAGAGAGATGGAAGGGGCAAGATGTGACTGACCACTGCAGACCTCTGGACACCAGCAGGGCTCCAAGAGAGATTGTGCTGGTTGTTATGAGTCCTGTCTCCAGGTTCCTGCAAATACTTGATAAACAATTGATACTTCCCTTATCTCCTCAAGCTGCAAGCAGACTCCTCTAACAATTAGCATGTCTATATGCAAGACTAAGCAGAAGGTATTAACCTGAAGGCCGTGGGAACAGAGCAGGCTTGAACAAGATGGAGTTGGAGAGATGAGAGACAGAGAATTTCACTGTTACACTTTGGCTTCCAAAGATTTTCCTGTCTGATTCATTTGCTAACCCATTCTTCACCTTTGGGCCCCTGCATATATAGACTCTCTCAACATGGATAGTCTTGAACTTCTTTACTCACTCAACATCCTACTTTTACCTATAATCTTCATTCCCATGACTTTCAAATAGAAATCTCAGCTTGTAGATTCTCCCCTAGAATCAAGCCCTGCATTCCAATCTGCCTGACTATAATCTCCATCCTGATATTTCGCTGACCCTCAAATTCACCCAGCCTCATTATTTCCTTCTCAAAACTAGTCTTTTCTTGAACCAGAGTTTCTGTTTCAGCAATGATATGTTTCTAGTAATCCAGATTGAAGCTGAAATGTGATTTCTAAAATCACATCTTTCTCTAAATCTTAGCTCAAAGTAGAGCAGTCCTCTATGGTCTATGAAAGTCCTCATCTTTGAATATCAACCTATTTATAAACTCCCCATCAGTGTGAAAGAAAGAAACAATAGTTTCTAAGCCAGATGAGAAAAAACATAAACCCTGGAGACCATGGTCTCTATGACAAAGGAGAGCATAATACGACCACAATATTTAAGTTATTTTTAAAAGGATTTTTTTATCTGTTGCTCTCAACATTCAGTGAGTTACCAAGCAGTATACATTGGTCTTCTTCAGGGCTCCAAAAGAGTGGGCACAGAGACTGACCTCTAAAGATGTTCATCACAGTTTTATTTATATTAATAGTATTAGAAATCTTAAATTCCCAACATTAGAGCATTGTTTGATGAAGTAATGTTTTACATATAAAATATGAGATGAATAATCTATAGCAATTTAAATTTTGGTATAATGGTCTATTCATTGATTTAGAAGCTATTTATATCCATTTTTAAGGGTTTTTTAAAAGAGGTTTAAAAAAAAAGTAATAGGAGAGCCCAAAGAAAAATACTAAAGGTGATTATTTGCTTCAAACTGTTACCAGTAGATTTCTATGTAAAAATGTAATTGATATCTTTTCATCATGTGCCAAGGAATGCTGAAAAAAATAAATGACAGAAGTGACATAGATTGAGAATAGTCTAAACAATTGAAAGAACATCTATTTTCAAAGCATCATAGAACTCAAAAAGCCCATTAGATATCAAGTCCTAACTCACTTTATATACCTTGTAGCAATGGAGATGGAGTGGCTTGCTCTGGATTGCATACCTGGCTGTGGCAGGTGGGGGATTGGAAGCCTCTAACACCGTTCTACTGATTCTCGCCACTGTCCTATCACTGCTAGCATGACAAATGCATCTACGTTGGGCAGTTTCAGCATGTGCAAAAATTAATGCATCCTCAAAACTTAAGAATATTGACCTTCACGGGAACCAAATAACATTTTAAAGCAGACATTTTTTGAAATAGTTTGTACTCAAATTTCTTTTTGTCTTTTTTTTCTATGTGTAACTATATCAGGATTCTACAGAGAAGCAGAACTAACAGGATATATTTATATCCATACACACACACACACACACACATACATTTGTCTCTATATACCTATATCTATATATCTACCTAGAGAAAGATTTATTTTAAGAACTTGATTCACATGATCACAGAGTCTTGGAAGTCTCCTGTGAAGCCCCAGGATCTGTAAACTGGAACGCAGGAAAGCTGGTGGTATGCTTTCAGTTTGAGCTTGAAGGCCTGAAATAAAGCAAGGCAACATGAGTCCCAGTCCAAGTTCAAAAGGCCTTAAACCAGGGCAGATGATGCTGTAAGCTCCATTTCAGGGACCTGAGAAGACCAAAGTCCCAGCTCCATAGTCAGGCAGAGAGCACATTTTTCCTTCTCCTGCCTCTTTGTTCTACTCAGGACTTCGAAAGATTGAAGGAGCCCCCTCCCCCGCATTGGGGAGGCCAATGTGCCCTACTCAGTCCACGACTTCAAAAGCCAATCTCATCTGGAAACACCTTCACAGACATGCTCAGAAATAATTAGCCAAACAAGTACCTGGCACCTTGTGATTCAGTTGTGAATCACAACCTGACTGTGATTCAGTCAGGTTGACATAAAATTAGCCATGATGGTCATATCTAAAAGCCAATTGCATAACTTTTGTGAGCCTCAGGTACTTTGTCTGAAAATTGGGGGGATGGCTGTCTATTTCACAGTGATAGCACCTTCAGAAGAAGCAAGGCCCTGACAACACCTTGACCTCGACCTCAGACTTTTCTAGTCTCCAGGGTGTGAAATGCTAAGTTGTTTTTATTTAAGCCACTCAGTGTGTGTCCTTTGGTTAAAGAAGCCCTAGGAAACAAATAGACCTGTATTTCTTAGATGGAGCATTATGTCCCTTAGGGATAATTCTTTACTAGGCCTTACCATGACCTGTAATGTCCTACACTTTGGAAAGTAGGTCCAAAACCCCTCTGGCCCAACTCCTTGTTAGCATGCCTATTCCAGAATTGAGAAGATAAGGCATCTCCCTGCTATATGTAATTCTGGTTCCAGTTTTTCAGTACCTCACTATGCTTCAGCTATTTATACAGGTCATGGGTTGATGGAATAGATAAGGATGCGGATGGATGGATGGATGGATGGATGGATGGATGGATGGATGAGTGGATGGATGGAGAGAAAAAAATCTCTACATACGTGTGTATATATATATCTCTATCTATCTATCTATATATATATATATATATATATACCATATGCTATATCTTTAGCTATCTTATCTATATCTACCATGCTTTTTAATACACATAATACTGCAAGCTTTTTTTCTCATTTTACCAAAAACTTGCTATAAACATTATTTCCCAAAATGGTCATATTATACTCTCTTATGTTTGCATTTACTAAGATTTTTCACTCATTACTGTGTTTTTAGGCAATCAATGCTCCCCCTTTGTGTCACATCTTTTCAAATAAGGCCTTTTCCACAATTTGAATTTTTTAAGGTAGTGTACCAGAAGGACAATTACTAGGCCAAAGGCTATAAACATTTGTAATGTTCTTGACACTTATTGCCAAATTACCTTGCAGTAAAACTGGCATCCTTTCCTTTGGGGTTAAATCCCAAGAAAATTATTTGTAACAAGAGAAGGAAATAAAGTCATAGAGAGCAATGGGAGTTTTGCTTTTCTACTGCCACAAACAAGTAATGAATATTTCCTTATGAAAAAGTCAAAGCCATGTGTGCCACATATATAACATGGAGACAATTCAAGAAATCAATGGCTTAATCTTTCTGGAACCCCAACATTGAAATGCACTGTAGGGTATTAACTTGTCAGTTCATTTACTGCCCGAAAGGCATCTCTGTCATCTCTGTTTGCTGGAGTGTTTCCTCTGACCTGTGCACTTGATTGTTAAGTTCAGAGATAATTTTCAATAAACTTGTCACTTGAAAATAAACAGTCTGGACAATGTATGGTCCATTTGGAATACTGGGAAAATAAACAAGCTGGGATGTGTCTTCTGGTCTTTGCAGGCCTTTTTGGAATGCATGCTCCAGAGGCTTGACTTTCTTCCCCCGAGCAGAAATTTTGATTTTCAAGTACAGCTCTTTGTTGGGCACTTCTGGGCGACCTTTTTCTGAAGAACCACAGCGATGGGTGGCTTTGGAGTCTCCCCTCGAAGACACGAGCTCGTCCTCCTGGTGCTCTTCCTGCTGCAGATTCGGAGTCTGGGTCTGGACATGGAGAGTCATCCTCCCTCTGAGGTCTGTGCCACACACACGATTTCTCCAGGACCCAAAGGTGAGGAAAGAAGAGTCCAGTTGTCATCTCTCATCAGTGTGCTCTCTCCTGTCATCTCTCAGCCCCTTGCTAGCTCTCAATGACTTTCTCTGTTCTCTCCATAGTTCCCCCCACTTTGCTTCTGTTTTGGAAAAATCAGTGGCCTATGACTTATTTTTACATCTCCCTTGATGTGAACTAAGGGAATTTTAGGAGGGGTTGGAAGCCCAGGGAAAGGATGTGAAGGAACTGAGCCAGGGCAGGGGGAAATGTATTCTTTCAGGCTGCTCAAGAGAGAGACACACAAATAGAACACTAGTCTTCAGGAATCCCTTCTTTTCAGGGGTGTCCAACCCATGGCCCATGAGCTGCCTGCAGCCCAGGGTGGCTATAAATGCAGCCCAACCCAGCATCACAAATTTACTTAAAACATGATGAGATTTTTGTTGTTGTTGTTTTCAGTGGTGTTTGTATATTAATGTGTGGCCCAAGACAACACTTCTTCCAGGGTGGCCCAGAGATACTGAAAGGTTGGACACCCCTACAAGTTTAAAACATCTTGGGCTGTTTTGTTCCCCAACTCCCTTCCCATACTGAGTCTACTAAAGCTACTAGACAAAGCTCAGCTAAGTCAATATCGAACCTTCCGTAGGTATCATACACAGATAGGCTGCTGGGTCCCAGTGCAGAGGAAAAGTTTTGTCAAGGCTAAAGGCATTGTACAGAGGCACATTTCTTTATTTGGAAGGGAAGTCTTCGTGCCAAGCGCCTTTAGCTGAAGGCTAATAGAACACTGCAAGAATTTTTCAAGTGGAGCCAAGGTCTAAGTGTGCTTCAAGCAACCGGCTGGTAAAAAATGCTTCTGTTTTCCTGGTTTCAGCTCTGACCCCTTTGTTCTGAAAGCGGTCACTGCAGTCCAAATCGGTGCTTCCTCATTAGTAATTCATGCTTTGTCTCTCTGGGCTATGGGGTGGAAGAATTACAGCTGCTTAAAATTTCAAGTAGAAAAGGGGTCTTTCAAGAAAAGCCCCAAAAGCCTAGAAATATATCACCTTATGCTTGTCAGTTATTTAAATGTTTATTGCTTAAAGTGCATTTTTCTTAATCAGTGAATTAATTTCTTCATAAGATTGCAATTCAAGTTTTAACCTTTGATACCACAAAATAAATGCAGGCAGAACCATGAGACCTTGGGGCCTCCTAGTAATTTCTTGGGTGAATAAATGAATAATGTGAGGGCAAATGTTTAGAAAAGAAAGTTTTCATGAGAAATAAAGTGTTTACTTAAAACCATTGCTGGACTTTCCATAGAGTAGAGGAAGTTTTGTATTATTTCTAGGATATTACAGAGAATGCTGAAAGTTAAAATTTTCTCTGTTCCCACAAGTAGGAGAGTCCATGTGAAAATAGCACTGTTAAATAATTTTTCTTGTGGAGAAACTATAATTTTTAAACTGGAAGAATAATGGACAACATGTCATTAAATTAATGTCCAAAATGTAATGTCTAACAATTCTAATTCATTCCAATTCAGTGAACATATCTCAAATGCCTCCTAAATGCCGAGTGTTGTAGGCACAAGTTATGGGTTGAATAATATACAGGGTCTGGCAGAAGTAAGGCCTTCTTGAGTGTGGTTGGTAAGGTAATAATATGGTGTGATAATTGACAGTTTTAATTGAACATTTTGCCTACAATGTCATATGGTGTGCTTGAGTGTGATATTATTGTGTTATAGAATGACATGCTTATGATTTTATAATGAAAGATTTTTTAATAAAAAAGGGATGTTATTTGTGCTGGACCCTGTATACAAGTGGTGTGAGCAATGGAGAGAAAAATGATTTAGGAAGGAAAACAAAGGGCATTTGATATGTGTTAGATGTCAGGAGGGTGTCCACCATGAGTCTTCCTGCCCTCATTTCTTTGCTTAACAGAAAACTCTTCCTTTCCTGTTGGAAACCCTATCAAGACTCCAAACAATGGAAACCTCTTTAACTGTCTTCCTGAGCCTGTGTAGACATCATGAGATGCTTATAAGACAGAAAGGTGACAGCCTCAAGGAGTGCTGCCAGGGAAGAAAGTCTGGGAGTTCTCAGAAACCCTGGGTTCTGAACTAAGCCTAATTTATGACTCCACTATGATTGCTTCTTCTTCCCCCAGAGCCTGAGGACTTGGTATGCAGTGGATTCTAAGTTCCTTTCTCATTAAAGAGATGCCATGGTTCTGGAATGTACTGACTACTTGCTAACAACTCCCAAGCAGCATGTGAGACGGGAAGGGTTTCCAGCTAAGGAAGATTCTGTCCTAGAATTTTTGTCAACATTTCAATTTATTTTTTTTAATATTAAATTTTATTTAGTTACTTTTCAAGTACATTTTTTTTTATCTATTTCTCCCATCCCACCCCACCCCCCCGCCCGGTCTCCCCTCCCTCCCATCCCCCCCCCCCAGTCCTCATCTCTGTGTCTTTCATACTTGTTCCTCAAAATCCCTCCCCCTTTTTCCCCTTAAGTTCCCTTCCCTCTCCCCTCTGGTTGCTGCCCACTTGTTCTCTATTTCAGTGTCTTTGTTTTTATTCTTTTGCTTGTTTGTTTTATTCTTTAGCTTCCTGTCAAAGGTGAGATCATATGGTATTTGTCCTTCAATGCCTGGCCTATTTCACTCAGCATAATGCTTTCCAGTTCCATCCATGTTGTTGTCAACATTTCTAGCTGGGGAATTAGATGGCAAACTCTGGAGGGGGGAGGGTCCCAGTTGGCTTCTCCTTTTTCTCTTTACAAATTGCCTTTGATGCTCCATAAGTACAATCACCACCGCCCTGCCTCTGCCCCCCAGCACTATGCTAAACCTAAGGACAATGAAAAACAAAGTAACTGTGTGTCTTCTCACAAGATAAAAGCTGCCATCAACCCTCCCTAATTCCTTCATTAGCGTGGTGACCACTCCTCAGATTTGTTTACTTAGCATTACAAAATGAGAAAAAAAAAAAACAAAAAACAAAACCTGATGGCCAAGTTAATGTTTCAAAAAGCTGTTGCTTCTGTTCAATATTTTCCCCCCAAGATAACTGCTGGTCTATACTTTTCTCCATGGCTGATTATCACAATATCATATTTACTAGCACTGTGCTCAGAAATTTCTAGATACTCTATGAAATAGACAAGACAAGGAGTTTCCCTTAGATTCACCTTGGGTACTGGGAACTAAATAAATTATTTAGAGTTGCAGGTGCAAAACCAGTTATGCTAAGCCGTCACATAATATGTTTTCTCATGCGTGGACACCGTATTCCACTGCATTATTTCCCAAGCATGACTTAGCAGAAAGACATTAGATTCCATCTGTTTAATCTTCACAATGTTATTACATCTATTTATGCCTCAGTAGGTTTGTATTTTTTTTTGTAAAATGGGACTTAATCACAGACCTGTTTTGAAAATAATATAAGATAATCAGTATAACTTTTAGGCTGTGTCGACATCACAATAGATACTTAAATTCTATTTATCTTTCTTTCTTCTCCCTATTTACATCTATGTGTTGGGTAAAAATTTCAACAATAAGCATTATTCCAGCTATCAAAACTTCTTCATATAAAGCTACCTTTATTTTTTCTTCCTTTGCGTTAAATTTATGATTTTATTCTGCTTAGTAGGAAACATTGTTTCCCCCACCTTTAGGAAATTCTTTCTTTAAACTTTAAACAATTTATGGGAAATTCTGACCTCTAGTGGTTTTACTTAAAAACAACAATAACAAGAAATTTTAACAAGATGTGTTAAAAGGAATTTTAAAAACCAATAAGAAACATTGAGGCGATTCTTAACAATTTCTAATGACCTTTGAAATACACTACTTCATTTAGTTTTCAGGACTGCCCTATCCATTAGAAATATTTTGAACATAAAGTAAGGAAACAGTATTAATGAGGCCAAGTGGAGTGCCCAAGGTCTTTAAGTAGATACAGCACAGTCAGGCAACTTGAACTTTACCCCTAGCCTTCTAGCTCTGGGCCCAGTGTCATTCCATGACATCCACTGGTTTCTATTAGAACCAAGTTTCAAAACACTGTCCATTGACCTTTTTTTGATTAGAAATGGATAAGGCAGCACCTGAGAACATGGAGTTCATGTAACCCTCCAGCCCAACCTTGTACTAGGTACCCAAACATGGTCAAAGTGATGACGTGCCTCCTCTGATAATTAACCCCACAATTATATCAGTTTATTTGCTAACTCATGATATTTTACCCTCTTGTTTATTTTGGCTTCTGCTAGCTTCTTCATTGAAGAGCTCTTTTTTTCAATGACATTCATGTGTCCTTCGCAATCCAGCTTGCTTCTCCTTACTTCTTCCGGGTCATTTCAAATCTCTTTCCCACTTGCAGTTTGCTCTCAGCATTCGTGCTTTGTCTCTCATTTCTGACTCAGGATCTTTGCCCTTGACATTGCCTCCATCTGGCCTAATTTTACCACACATCTCCCAAGGGATAGGTCATCTTCATTCATTTGGGTTTTAGCTAAAATGCTATTTGCATGATGAGGCCCTGCCTCACTACCCCTTCCCTCTCTGTCATAGTTCCCAAGATTGTTGAGTATTTTCAAGGACTGACTACTCAGTGAAAATCCCTGTGTATTTATACATTTATAGTCACTCCTAGAATGTACACTTCTGGAATGTAGGGACCCTGTCCATCTTGCTGAGTGTGTTTTCCTACTGCCTAGAAGAGTTGCTGACACACAGCAGGTGTTCAAGGAATATTTTTTGTTAAATGAGTGAACCCCAATTATCAAAGATCCCCCAACATTTTAGCTCATGGCTCTGACCTATTCATATAGTTTTTTTAGCATGTTCTCCCTGTATGTTCTGTACTCTCAAAGAAAGGACTGCTCCTTTTATGCAAATGTTTCCCAAAGGAGGACGGATCCTGGAGGTGCACTGCCATGGCACCATGGTGGGTCACAGAGCTTCCCCACCAGCGGCCACCACTTTTCAGCAAGCACAGCAGTCCAGGGGTT